ACAGTGTTGTCTGTAGGCGCTAACCATCTTCCGGATGGGAACCGCGCGATATTCTTAATACCTCGTTGATTATTCCGCCCGTTGTCGGTGTTGTTCTTGTTTTTATTTTCTGTCACGACTGCATGAATAATTGCTCGGGCAATAATGAATCTCGGAACTATTGTAATAGGCTAACAATAATTCACTTCCCCGTCCACTTTTATTCTTTTATTCACAACGAGGCTTTCAAATAGAACACTGTTGTATGGTGGCGAAGTACCAATTTTGAAGACGCATGTCACGCCGTCGACGACGATTAATGGTGCATCATCACAGGCATATTTTAGTGCGCACTTGTCGGTGAAACTGAGCTGAAGGGTTCGGGTAGCAAGTGAACCACTCCTAACACCCTTTTGAAGAGTACGCGGCCTGAAAAAAACGTTGACTTGGCATAATCGTCATTTATGCAGATGACAATTGGCAGTTCAATCACAAATACTGCAAAAGGTATAAAAATGTTCCCCTATTCCGACGGTTTCCCGGCTTTTTAAGGTTCATATCACAAGTTGTTTGGACCTCGTTGCAACGTTTTTATAAATCGTACAAAGTATAGCTTTCCAAAACTGAGTGGGCGCAACTGACTAGAATTTTACACAAAATTGCAACCTGGTTTGCCTAAAAATGCGACTTAATATGTCAAAGTTAAAAGCAGCTGATCGTTTATGTGTCAACTGTTGAAAATGGCACGTGACCGGCTTAAGAAGATAAGATGCTTTTCTGGCGGTCTAAATATTCCAAAGGCAGCCTATCGGCTGATAGTGCTTGGCTACGAAATTCAAGTCGTCTGAAATCATGGTCCTGAGGAATGGAACTACGAATAGTCATTTGCCCATAATGCTCTCGCTCAGAAGACAATATTTGTGTTGTCTCTAGTAGTGAGGCCGTCAAAAACCAAGCAGATCCAATGTCCTCTTGCGTGCGGATGCAAAGCTGAGAGATTATTCAGAAGAGCTTTTAACGTAATTATTTATTGGCCTGTTTCGTGACACCCCAGCAGTTTGGATGCTAAATACAAAGCAAAGCTCCTGCATGCGTTGCTTCCAAAATCCATCTGCCTATTGTTTTAAACTGCCTGGCTAACAAGCAAGCGGGTGAGCCTCTTAATTATCTAGTGTTCGGATTGTGGCGTACTGGAAAGCGGAGGATATAGTCGGTAGCGGAATTGTTCCTATCTCCTCTGCATGGCCTTCAAAAAAACGCATTAACACATTCGACGCAACTAGAGGTTACTTCAGGATCCAAGATGAGAAATGCCCTAAAATCGGCAGCTTTTGCGCCTGTCAAGCGGCGTTGACGCTATGGAGACCTGTGATACACAACCTGCACCAAACGCAGGGTGTCGATGACGTGTAAGGCTTGAATTGTTTCCATATCCGTAGTTCTGATAAGCTTTCCTAATACCCACGATTTGAAATTTACACAGAATTCCAGATTTGCACTCATAAGGACCGAACAAAGGCATATCCGTCGGAATGCCGGCGCTTACGGATAACCAGTTCTGCTAATAATCATTATACTCATGCAGGGCAACTTTTGTGACTAAAGTATTTCCTCAGCTTAGTTCTTGGTCTGAACCTTTCAAGCTAGCGTTCTGGCCGGAAGAACCAACAAAGGTATACAACCTGTACCAGCGTCCAGAGATAGGTTAAAGACACCGGCTTGAAACATCGTACGCGAGGCGTATGCGGCGACAGCATTCTGGAAATTCTGACCTTTATAGGGGTTCGCCTTTGGCATCAAGCGCTCAGCAGCCATTGGCTCAGAATTGGCCGTTGGGATCACACTGTCGTACAGTCAGATGCTAAACAGTCGATGCTAAACAGGCAAGCGGCCCAATCTTCTGGTATAGACTGGGCTAGGCTCCCTGGCTGTATGTGCGCCAAAAAGCGAGCGATAAATTTTTTTCGGTGCTGAATTCCACTTGAAAACTACTTTAAATTTTTTGGAGTAGCCTCGAAGCTGAGGTGGTTGCACCGGCTTGAGGATCCTGCCTGTTTAGCTTTGTGGCCATAATGCGCACTCATGCCATGCCCCAAAGGAGCAGCTGAGGAATTCTCCGGAATCGTGCGCAGACCAGAAGTATCAACAAGTATATTTGGCAGGATAGTGTCGTGTGGTGTTCAAAGATTTTTTCGAAGCATTGCCTCTGCGGATGACACTAAGCCACGAGCAAGATTCGTAGACTTGCTCAATTTGGAAGTCAATCAGAAGCACGTAGAGAGCTCTGAGCAAAGGCGTTCATCCTGATTGTTCCCGGATACTCGTCCTAGTTACTACGTGCGCTGAAAATAAAAAGCGTCCGTTGAAAGCAATAATGTATCATATCGGTCGAGGCATAGCATAAAATGATCTTCTGGACAGCTGGTGGGTCATCAGCTGCGGCGATATTTGACGACCTGCCGCAGCACGAGGTCTTTGTCCATATCTTAGAGGAATAATTTAGCAATCACCTTGAGGATGCGAACGGCTTCCAGTACTACAGAGTTTACCTCCACTTCCAAGCCGACTGGTGTGACTGCTGCATATTCTGACCCTGGCCTGCCAGTAAAACCTGACAGTGCGTTGGCTTGTCCAAGGCCTGTGGTGGACTGGAACTGGACCTTGAAGTCAAATCTTGGAATCATAGTGATCCATTGATGGCGGCGGTTAGGTATATGCACCCAAACTGACTTTCCCGGTCCATATACATAGAGGAGCGGTCGGTACTGTGAACTGACGGCCATGGTGTTGTGCTGAAGCTAAGGCAAAAATTATTGCCAAAACTTCTTTTCTACCTGACTGGAGTTGCGCTATGGTTGCGTAAGGGGTCTAGCCGTATATGCAATAGCTTTTTGGCGCCGCTTCCTATTCACACAATGGGATTGATTTCTCGAAAGCTACGGCATTTTCAGACTTGCCACTTCATAGTGT